TAATCAATGGTTCTCCATCTTTTCAACATCTGGAAACCTATATAGCCAGACTAGATATTTGACTTATTTTATTCATTTTACATTTTTATTTTTTTATTTTTTTTTAGTTGTGCCACTGCCATGAAAACTAATTTAAAATACCCATGTAGAAATTGCCACAAATCAGTTCGAATCAATCAAAAAGCTCTTTATTGTGACATTTGTCCTTTTTGGATACATTTAAAATGTACCAATATTTCTGGAACACAATATGAAAATTTTGAATCTGAAGCTGATGAAATACCTTGAAATGATTTGAAATACATGTCCGCAAAGATATTACTATAATGTGCGAAAAGGTTTTGAATCTATATTCATTGACATATCATTGGAAAATAAAACAATAACCTGCGGTACTATTTATAGATCACCACTAACTGATGAATTGAACAATGCTGACTTCAGACATCTTTTGTCCCAAGTTCTCTCAAAGATGAACAGGTCCAATTATAATTATATAATGGGTGATTTCAACTATAATCTTATTGATGAGTCCAATATGAATAGGCTGATAAACTGCCCCACCAGGATATTTTCAAATTCTGCTACCTGTATAGACCACATCTGGACAAACGTATATGATAAAAAAAATTAACAGTGCTGTTTCAGCAGAATGTGTTTCTGATCATCTGCCAATTGTTAATGCTCTCTTCTAGAAAAGCAAATTCAGACCAGAATTGAATTGCTTTATCGCCAGTTTACTTCGTCCAACTTGAATACTTTTATGAATGAACTGAATTCTATTGATATTGATGACTTCAACAGCATCCAGAATCCCAACACTTGCTTTGAAAATTTTTTTGAAAAATTCTCTACTGCTTACTCTTAATCTTTTCCTTACAAAAAACAAACAAACAGATCAAAGAAACCTTGGTATGATACTGAGTTACGCAAACTCAACAAAGTCAAACAAAAACTTTATAAGAAATTAATAAACAATAAAAACATAAATGACAAGCACAAATTACAGTTCAATGAATGCAGGAACCTTTATACTCGATTGCTCCACAAAAAGAAATCGAATTATTACAAATCTAAATTTGCCTCTCACAAAGGTAACATCAAGGCAGTGTGGAAAACAATTAATGAACTTATTGGTAAAAATAAAACAGGTTCTTGTCCTTTGATTGGACTCGATTGCAGTAATACACAAATTGCAAATAAATTTAATGAACACTTTTCCCAAGTGGCACAAACCCTGCTCGACTGTATGCCACAACCAGCTGGCTGTGACAAAAATTACATTTCATATCTTGGAAAGCAAGAATCCTCATCCATGTTCTTAAGGCCAGCTACATCATTAGAAATAAAAAATATTATACGCGATATGAAGCCCAAGTCAAGTTTTGGAATCGATGGTATTCCATTTAAAATATTGAAATATGTTCCAGAACATATTATTGATATCCTGACATATATATTTAATCTTTCACTATCTAGTGGATTATTCATTGAAAGCTTCAAGACATCCAAAGTTCTTCCTCTGTTTAAAAAAGGTAGTGTTTCAGATCTTGGAAACTATAGACCTATTAGTCTTTTACCATCGTTTTCTAAGATTCTTGAAAAAATAATGTATAGTAGAATGTCAAACTACTTTGAAACTAACAATGTTTTCCACTCGCATCAATTTGGTTTCCGCAAGCATCACTCCACTGCTATGGCTGCTAATGTTTTGGTACACAAACTGACCAATGCGTTTGAATGCAAACAACATGCAATTGGAATATTTCTTGATATCTCAAAAGCTTTTGACACCATTGACCATTCCATCCTCTTAAGTAAGCTCTATCACTATGGAATTAGAGGCGTTCCATTCAATTGGATCAAGAGCTACCTTCAAGACAGGAAGCAAATTGTGCAATATGACAACCTATTCTCTACAAATATTTGTGTCATGAAGCACGGAGTTCCACAAGGATCTTTACTTGGCCCATTATTTTTCTAGCTTACATTAATGACATGTCCAGGTGTCTGAAATCCTCTGAGTCGATCATGTTTGCTGATGACACTAACTTGATTCTTCATGGGGAAAACCTTGAAGATCTATTCACAGTTGCAAACCAAGAACTAACCAACATTCATAGCTGGATGTTAGTTAATAAATTATCTCTGAATGCTAACAAAACTAAATTTGTATATTCCATCCAAGCAAGCATAAAAGTGTGAGTTGTTCAAAAAAACTACTGCTCAATGGCAATGAAATTGAAAGAGTGAAAGAAATAAAATTTCTAGGAGTTATCTTTGATGAAAATCTGTCATGGAAATCACAAATAATGCATGTTATTGGTAAAACAAAAAGAAACCTAGCAGTTTCTGCCAAAGTATCCCAGTGTGTTGACCAATCAGCTCTACTAGCAATGTTTCAATCATTACTACTTAGCCATATTCGATATTGTTGTTCAGTCTGGCTTCATGGTAATAAAACACTTGTCTCAAAACTGCAGAGTATTTGTAATAATTTTTTAAGAATAGTTTTTGGTAAAAGAAAACGTGAAAGTGTAGACTCTTACTTCAAATCACTAAATATACTTAAGGTTGAAGATATGATGAAATTTGAAATATTATCTCTAGCTCACGACTTCCATAATAATGCGCTGCCCAATTGCTTTAATGACATACTTGTCAAAAATACCTCCAACCGAAGAAGTAGTTCTGATTTATTCGTACCTTTCATGAGTAAATCCGTGAGTCAGCATTCCTTGTCTTTTACTGGACCCAAACTTTGGAATTCTCTTCCTTAAATTTGAAGACGTTAAAGTCCAAAAAAATCTTTTTAAAAACAAGTCAAGTCTCATTTAGTTCCAAATATTAAATATTAAAAATTACTACTGGTGGTATTCGATGACAAAAACTTGGGACACTCCACACTTGCACATTATTGTTTTAATGAAAATGTTGAACAGCTATAATAATATTGTGCCACGACTATAATAATATCTTGCCACGACTTGGCCAGAACTAGTCCAGCACCAAAGAAATGGTATTGTGACATGCATGAGTATATATATATTTTTTAAATATATAGGTAGCTAACGTACTCGGATGATATTTTCTTTAAATAACTGCACACATTCTATCACTTCACGCTTCGTGTTTTTATCTTTTTCTAGCTGTGATGTCCCTATCATACACGCTTGGTCTTATGTTTGAGTGGTGGTATAAGGGTTGTAGATAGTACAATATTGTTCCTGCAAGGTTACTAATTATTGCAACTAGGCGAGCAGTAGAGCTATGTTGGATTCTCCCCTTCAGATTTTAATTGGCTGTGGGTCATTGTAATTGGATGTGGTTTTTATATCATTTATCTATGCATGCGTTTTATGTTAAGGCATGGTGTTTGAGTTGACTTGTTGGCCAAGGTATAGATAGTAAAATTTTGTGTGTTTTTTGCATGGTGTGATAAATTTTTCTCTGTCCCAAGCAGAATGTCATCATAGATCATCTATCCATCGCTATATAATGACAATACATCCCATTTAATTAAACAATTATTTTTTGCCTGTAATAAATAGTTCAGAGCGTTCCCCTTCACCCAATCATTGAAACATCTTTTTTATTTTTTGTTTTTCAGGTTACTTCAAAGTGATTAAATGAAGTAAAACACATAAGGAAAAAAACATAAAAAGACTCCCGATATCCTGTGAAATAACAACCTCATTCCCATATCCTTGTCTGAAATCAATACCCAAGAATGAAAAACCTCACTTAGACCCTTTGTAACCAATTTATTTCCACATCCTACTTTACTTAATTATAGTAATTTTACTGTTACCGGTAACTTAATTACTTATTACAATCTGGACTATAATTTGGCAATAATAGGCTCTAATTTGGGGAATGAAATGGTCTCGCCCACCTCTTCATGCACCCAATTCTGGCAACTTTGGTTGGGCAACTTGGCATTTGACTCCAACTATAATCAGCTTGGCAATATGTTTTCAATAGAATCTTCCTTTTATATACCTAATTAACGATTAGAAGATCGATCAATTTGGCAATGGCAACCATTACAAAAATATCAATATGGTGTGGCAGATAATTTTCTTTTCTAGTATTTATTTATTTATTTTTTTGTTTACTGTATAGTATACCCTAAATTTATCGCGTTTCATTCTTACTTAAATAACTTCTCAGTGGTTGTGTGTGTGTGTGGCTGGTGGGTGCATGTGAGCGTGTGTGAAATAACTTGATAATTTTAGGTGAGTAAACACGTACCACTTCCTCTTGGCAAAACCTTTCATCTTATATTTTGTACGTTATAAACCTTATCTAAGGTTTTGTTTGCTCCCCTGATTTCATAATCAGATTTTATTTATTTGTTTTTATCTGTCAAATGTATTGTTATGCTGATTATGGAGTCGAAATAAACTTATACTTATTATACTTATGATCCTAGTAGAATATAGTGAGTCGAGGTATGGATTGAAATAAATGGTGGAGCACGGGCGATTTATCATTTGTCTGGATCGGTACGTTACGGCTGTACGGTATGGGGCAGGCGCAGAGAGTGTTTCAGTAGACTATATTCTACGAGACTATCCGTATCTCCCATTCTTTCACGAGTGATTGCATGGGTACAGGTACGGTCAGACGGTACCGTACCGGCATCGCACGAGTGTCTGAGCAGTTAAGCAGCATTTTCCAATTAAATTACCTTCTACACGTAAAAACAAATTTTCGTATCCAATTCTATATTCTCTTATCATTATTATAAATATATTTCTTGTGGTTGAACTTGTAGCATGGAGAATTTATAGAACATTTTCATGTTGAATTTATTGGATATTGCTCATGAAAATCAGTAGTGAGTTAGAAACCCAGGAAACACATTTGTGCGTGTAGGATTAAGTCTGACAACGTTGGTCCCAAGCAGCATCAAATTTTCCAAAAATGAAAACGCGTGACAACGATGGGCCATGAGGCGGACCAACGTTGTCAACTTTTTTTATTTTCTTTTTATCCAATTTTTTTTTTCAATTTTAATTATTTTTATGTTTTTTTTACAACTATTTTTTTATTTTCGCTTTTTCATTTTATTTTTTCATTTTTTTTTTAATTTTACACGTGACAACGATGGGCCACCATAGACAAGAACCGAAAAGCTTGATTAAAGGATTGTCCTTTGAAATAAAGGACGGTTGGCAACCCTAACCGTAAGTGAAAATATGACTATACCACACGCAAATAAAAAGATAAATATTCTTCCAAATTTTTCCTGAGGAGGAATTCCTCCCCATTTGAGAAAGGTGAGAGGAGTCAATAACACTCGATTTACTGACCTTGGAAAGGTGGGTTGAAGGTCAGTGTTGAGCTTGCATGAATAAGGCCATCAGGTGGCGCTCCTGGAACCACATTATACTTGATATCATGCTTCGTTGGTTTTTTAACAGAATATGCTGATAGTTTTAACCTGCAGCCCCCAATATCTAGCACTGTTTTCTCCTGAGTGATTTCTGTAAATTATGAAAAAAAGGGGGGTAAAGTATAATCAATTTCTTATAATAATCAGCTTACATTATTTGTTATAAGTATTATGTTTCACGTTTATTTTAGGCGGTGTGATGGCTTGCCGGTTAAAGCAGGTGCATGCAACCTTCAATACAGGAGGGCCAGATACAAATAACTGGGTGAAACCGTGGGCCACACCTTCATTTAACGTAGGCTTTTTAGTAGTTGCAATCACAAAAAAAACATTTTACGCCACAGTCATAGATTGGACTTGGGTATAGGCCTTGCGACGCAAAGGAACTGGAATTACTTGCAAGTATCAGAGGCCGCATTTGGGACACAGGTTGCACGCCGACCTCACCAACTTAAACACAAAATCGGCTCGTCATCGTTAGGAATACGCTCGCCACCACACTTCTGATTACCATTCGTGGGTTCGCACCATATGTAGGGATAGTTACGTGCCGTAGGTCGGTTCACGTAAGCGCTGGTAGGTTACGGCTTCCCTCATCAAGTCAATGCTTTCGAAAACGAATAACTGTTTTACTAATCCCATACCTGACATTAACTGGTATCCGGACCAACATGATAAGCCGTCATATCCTTTTTCCTCTCCCCGGAATAAATATGTGAATCCTATCCCAAATACAAAAAAAATTGAAATAATAATCAAATATTAGTTTGTATTTGGCGTAATTTATTAATATTGCTCACTTATACAGATTACAGCAATATTACAAAATTAAAAAATTGTGCCAAAAATTAGCTCCATTGAAGATCAATAAATATCGGAGTTTCTGCATAGCGAATAAGGAATGGGGAGACCCAAATAGGCAAAAGGGTGGAAGATATCTACAAGTATATTTGGACTACATAATCAGCATAATAGACGATAAAATAAAACAAACTATATAAAATTGATTATAGAAATCGTTTTCATATGCATAGGCTTGAATTAACATTTCAAATGACCGTTCAGGTATCACTGGTAATATGCGAAAACTATCTATTAATCTCGAATAAATAATTGTCGCATAAAAGATATATTCATTCTTTTTTCTTTTTTATCCTGTAGGATTTTCGATAGATGATTCGTTCGTCTTCAGCTTGATTTCCCACGGCAGAATCAAGTTTCTTCTTCTGAGTGATTTTATATTCACAAGTGTCACCGTTTGTGTTGCAGTAGGATATGTGGCCTAGAATGAGAGAAATGAAAAAAGTTGCTCGTAACTCGTAAACGTAACTCATTACTCATATTTTTTAACATCCCATAACATGAGAGTTGCAATGTTGAGATTTTCAAAAGTTTCATTTGAAAATATTACAAGGTTACAAGGCGCTATTAAAACTTACGATAGTTTTGAAAATGAAGTTTTATTGAAGGTTTTGAGGGCCTAAGCTTGCTTACACTGATGGGATACAAGTGGCATATCCACATAAAATGGAGGCCATGGCAAAGTTTTAAAAGTGCACCCTCATGATCGTTGGCTGATAATATTTAACGGCTATTGTTGAATTGGGATGCCAATAAGTTGTTATTTAATTACAAATACAAGTTTAAATTATTTATTCAAAACATTATACGAATAACACTTCCCGCCCTTTTTGTGCTTCTGTCCAACCAGTGCCTGGGGCACGAGCCATGGCTGCCACACCCCAAATACGCCAAATCGAAGAGCATAAAGGTTGAGAACAACTGGTATAAAACATTGCTGGGTTTGAAGATGCCCCCGTGCGGTGCCCCTTTTCCCTTGGTGGCCTAAGCTCGTACTTATTTTGCCTAATGGTCAGACTTTGTTTAGAGCGAAAAGTATGAATAACTGTCCCATAGAAAAATAGAATCCCCTATTCCAGTGGTTCTCAAACGGTAGATCATTTTTTAAGGGACGTGAAGCTCATTAAAAAAAATAAATATTTGTTAGATTTGATCTTGACCGCCTTAATTTGGTTATTTGCATTTTTTATTTTGGATATTCACGTTCCGTCCTCCATTTTCAACAAATTTAAAAAAAAACATACTTTTGTCTCCTACTATCTGTTATTTGTAGTTTATTGTTAGCTAGTTATTTTTGAGATGGGGTGCGAGACTTGACAAATTCTAAGAAGGCTTAAAAAGTTTCAGAACCACTGTTATATTCCTACCCACCCTGATGTGAAGACAAGAATTGTTCATCTACATTGAACCGTATTTTTGCCATTTTTTGTCCAGGAATAATCTTGAACGCAATCTCATCTTCAAATGATGCCGTAAGTGGTTCCAGTGTCTTGCTTGAAAAAACGAAGCCTTTCGCCTTAAGCCTGTTAAAATGTATGTATGTTCATTTGCCTCAAAAATGCAACAATATCTTCATGATAATAATACTGTATAAAAGAGACGGAACATGTGTTCAAGACATTGCTGACAAAAGACACAGATGTGCGACATGCACCCCTAAAAAGTATAACAGCAGTTTAGCACTGCTGCATTAAAGTAGCAGAATAGTAAATTCTTGATAAGAGACAAATTTCAACAAGATTTAAAAAAAAAAAATTCTGGAGTGGACAGCTGATAAAGCAGCCTAATATTCAATCTTTCCAATTCATTTGCATTGCAATGCCTATACCTGAGTCCAATTTATCCATGCATATTTATCTACGCCTATGGCGTTGTAATGCCTTTTTTGTGCCTTCTAGAAAACCTGTGTCAAGTAAAAGCGCGGCACACGATTTCACCCAGTTATTTGTACCTAGCCCTCTTGTAGCAAAGATAGTAAGCCCAGCTCTACATGTCCATGCAGGAACCCGTTTATAGAATGCAGTGATAATCAGCAATTACTATTCTTTGTTTTCGATGTTAGACAACCGTTTACATACATTTTGTGAAACGAAAATACCTGTTGTCAGTGAGTTTGTTTTCAACTTTTTGAATCATTGATCATTTATTTTAATTCGGTTTACATTGTTATATATATTGTAAACTACATGAAATAAGGTAATGTGACATTTTTGTAAGTCGACCATAGAGGCTAGCCATATAACCAATTCAGACATCCAGCTCGGCACAGTGGTGTGGCGCATTGTGATAAACGTTAGAAATACGCATTCTCATTGGAACGAACCTATCCCGAAACAAAGTTTCAATGGCTCCATCATCGAGGCAGAACCCCATTGCAAATTTCCCATCCACATTATTGTACAGAAAGCAGGATATTTTGAACTGAATTACTGGCAACATGTCTCGAGATACGAATGCTGTCAGGTTGCTCAGGTAACGATATTGAAGCTCCAAATGTCCTTCGTGTGTCAGGGTTGGACTCTCCAACTTATTCCAGTCACCTTGAAATAATAATTAATTGCAAATCAAATATTTGTAAACAGCAAATTTGTTTTATTAGGAATTTAGACTTAGCTTAGCGTTACGGCAAGCGTTAGGAATACGCCCGCAACCTCTGATACCCTGTGTGGGTCCAATCCTGTGAGAGATAATTATGTGTGAGAGAATGGCTTGACAAGGGTCTTTAGCAACTGCAAGATATTATCTTTTCGTGCTGCGTTAGACACTATATAGGCCAGGGTGACTATTTTGTTATGCTGTGTTAGAACCCATTTGGATATCACTGATCGATACCCCGTATTGTTGATTTGGCGTCTCCCTCGACTCTGAAATGCTCTTCTTATTTTATCAGTAACGTATTTTCCTATTTTTGGTGGAAAAAATAAATTACTGATTACTTCAACACATATAAATTTGTACCTTCTTCTGTTTTAGTGAAGATTCCAACAAGAACAGAGGCTTCTGAAGAGCACCATGTTGGGAGCAAGATCTTCACGTTCTTTTGACCTTAGAAAAATATATCACATGAGTTTGAGGAGTCCGAAACAAAAGGGCGATTGTCAAAATTTAGAAAAAAATCATTATTTGAAAATATTACAACGAATTAAGGTGCATTTAAGATGGTATCTAATGTTTGTTTTCAGCAATATTCACCAAACAGTTACTGGAATGTAAAGCACTGAAACATGAGTTTTGCATCATTTTCGAGGTTCCACCCTTTAAATTAAATCCACCGAGTTGCTTATCAGAATGACAAACAGGCTTGAGCGGGGGTGGGCACGTTTTTGGACCAAAGACCAATTTTGTGATCCTAAACTGACGGGCCATGTAAGTTTAACGTAAAAAGTTACATTTTATGAACAATATTTACAGTGTTACAAAAACAAAAGTGGGAAACAATAAGCATCGTGCCAAGACTAATTTGATAGCAATCTTAATAAATTCCTTGAGCTAGCTGGAACATCAAAATTCGGTTTTAGTTTGGTCGTGGCAGGGACAAATTGAATTACTCAACAGAATCGTTTGCAAATCCCCTTCAAAGCAATGTGTGGTCCTGCCCCAAAACGATCCATAATCACATTCCAACAATCAGACATAATTCTTATGCTTGGATTTTTCGACTTGTACATTTGCTGTTCGAACTCTTAAATGAAACACTAGCTTGCGATAAGTGTAACTTGTACTCTGAATTTTCCTTAGTTTGAATAGTTTATAATATGTATATATATATGCATTGCGATAATACGAAATAAGTAATAAATATTAGCAATACCACACACAAATACAAAGTAAATTATTTGGTGTTCCAGAAGTGTGTGTACCAATATGGAGGGACCTAATTTTATTTGCCTACGCTTTTTTACATCCTGTTGTGTACTGAACCTTTGGCCAGGGGTATATTCACTTGGCTAACACAGACAGTGTTCGAACTCGTAATAGAACAAAAATAAGGAAAAATTGGAATAGAATTATTGCCCAGCCGTAACCTGGTACACATACTTCGGTACACAAACCAAATATTCCTCCCCAAAACTATCAAATTTTTCCCTGACAAGGGAATTCCCCTCTATGAGACTATTCAATGTGGGCTACTCACCTTGGAAAAGTGGGCTGAAGGTCAGTGTTGAGCTTGCATGAATATGACCACTTGGTGGCGCTCCTGGAACGACATTGTACTTGATATCATGCTTCGATGGTTCTTTAACAGAATGTGTTGAAAATTTCAACTTGCAGCCCCCAACATATATCCCTGATTTTTCCTGAGTGATTTCTGTAAATTATACAATAATGAGGGGTAGAGTATAATCAATTTCTTATAATATTCAGATTACATTATTTGTTATAAGTATTATGTTAGGCGGTGTGATGGCCTGCCGGTTAAAGCAGGTGCATGCAACCTTCAATACAGAAGGGCTAGATACAAATACCTGGATGAAATGCGGGCTGCACCTTTATTCAACATAGGCTTTCTTGTAGTTTAGGCACAAAATTTGGGCCATGTTCACAACACGCTGTAAGTACTTCTAGTTGGCGTGACACAGCCATGTTTGCATATGTTATTCCTAACCCCCACCTGAATAGGTCCCTCAAAAATAATGTCACTATGACGTCTCAGTAATGTAATAAGGCCCTCCGCACTATACTAACTGTCATCCAGGACATGCAGACGATAACCTGAATTCGAGCAGGCTATTTCTCTCGTTTTCTTGTCGTAACGATCCCGTGTAAGACGGCTTAGCCATATGGCAAACCCCAGTCTCACGTCGGGTTACCAGTCCATGTCGGGTATGGGATTAGTTAGCTAGTTATTTGTTTTCGGGAGCATGGACTTGATGGTGGAGGAAGCCGTAACTGACCAGCAGTTATGTGAACCACCCATTGGCGGTGAGGAGTCCAGCAATCCTCTCGCACATGATCATCCCGGCATGGGATTTGAACCCATACAGTGTAATTATACGCTTAGCGCAATAGGCAAGACCGTCGAGCCGAGTTGTGTTATCCACCTCCAACTTGTATTATTTCATTTTAAGTTTACAAACCCAAAATTACTATTTATATTGCTCAAAAGATAAGGTTTTCACCTTCAACTTTGCTTAATACCGACCGATCCATCCCCGGTTTCTGAGATTGTCCATCATGTTTCTCGTCAGCCGCTGCAGACATAGCCTGATAAAATAAAAAAATGCGAGCTTTCAACCAGACCGATGGTATATCAATATTTATATCAAATTTGCCCTTTCCTTACTCCCGTAGTGTGTGTACCAGGTTAAGGTTATGTCATGATTTTATTTTGATTTTCCTTATTTTTGTTCTATTACGCGTTCGACGACTGTCTGTGTTAGCCAAGTGAATATACCTCCTGTCTATAGGTTTCAGTCCCTTTACACAACTTGATGTGAAATAGGCGAACAAAATTAGTTTCCTCCATATTGGTACACATACTTCTGCAGCGCTCCCCTTCGTACTTGAAACCCTCTAAATGACAGAATTGCTCTTGTGTTTGGCAATGAATGGTATACAAATAAAACATTATTAATTGACCTTAATGATAATACAGTATAAATATTTTTGAAATTTTCAAAAGTCAAACCTAATATAGATGCTTGCTTATGACTTCAAAGCGCCCTCAATCATCTGACGAAAACCTAAGTTTCTCATTTTGCTATCATATATATATATTATGTGTTTTCTGATTTTGTTTTTTGGCGCGGCGGTGTGGCTCATCGTGTTAAGCGTTAGGAATACGCTCGCTACCACATCTCTGATTACCCTGCGTGGGTTCGCAGGTTCGAATCCCATGCGGGGTATTCATGTGCGAGACGATTGCTGGACTCCTCACCGTCGTAGGGTGGTTCACGTAACCGCTGGTCAGTTACGGCTTCCTCCACCATCCAGTCCAAGTCCATGCTTCCGAAAACAAACAATATAACTAATCCCATACCCGACATGGATTGATAACCGGACGAGAGGCTGTGGTTCGCCATATGGTTAAGCTGTCTTATCGGCTTTACTCTCCCCTGGGATAAATATGTTAATCCTACCTACCCTACCTACCGACAAAAAAAAATATTCTATCTCTCTCTCACTCCCTCACATAACCTTCACAAATAGGTCAAATAAAAGATACTAACTTTGTTAACTTCATTGGCACCTCTGCTATGACGGATGCTCCCAGATTTGCTTTTCGTTTGGATATTTTTTTGGTCAATATATGTTACATTCTTTGAATCCATTATCATTGCATTAGCTTTCACATTTTTCAATTCGTAACGGCCCTGATTTCTTTCACCTTTTGGAACTGTGAAAAATATTCGGAGTCAGATTGAATTTTATTTGGAAATGGAGCCTTGAAAACTATTGGACTTTTAAATTTATGTTAAACAAAATCCTGTGGGAGTGATTGTGTCGGTTCGTTTTTTTTCTATATGATGCTTATTCATCGCCTTTTGTTCCGGACACGGCTTTATGCAAGCAGGTAATAAGGCGCTACTTTTGGAAGAACCCGCATCCCGGTCCTGCATTGCCTACCCAATGGGGTACATGGCAACCAGGGATCTGTATGCGATTATACTTAAATAAAATAAAAAACTGTTATGTATTTGACTGACCATCTGTACTGGCAATACGCCACTTTTTGGGTATTGAAATAAAATTGTATTTAAGTTAGAGATATAAAGTATGTTTCTCTCCCATGAAGAAAATACACTGCTTGAAGACCTAACACGGTCCCTCGTGAGACCTGTCGCACAACTAACATTATTATTATATTTATTTCCTGTACCAATTTTTTTTTGCATTTTTTTATGACGACGAATAAATGATCGATTGAGTCTTCCGTACTGTATATGGTTAAGTGCATATACATAGCATACGTACAAACATAATAGAGATTATTTAAACAAAGACCTTTCGAAAGCCAGATATTCAAACACGTCCGGATGATTGCTGCATAATAAAGGAACCTATCTAATTGGAAACAAACACGCGGAAGGTCATAATTCGGACCGCGGTCCGCCAGTTCGATAACCATAATATAAAGTGTTTCTAACCTCCTTGCACAGCTTTCACTTTACCAGGCTTTCTTTTTTTCCTCTCGTTCTCTGCCATCTCACCTGGAAAATTGTATAAATTTTAGCAAGAAATATCCTAAAACATCAATGTAGTTGTGTAGTAGTTTATAAGTCTCGAGTCTAATCGAGTCAAAGGTCACTCAAGTCTTGAGTCAGTCGCTTAGTCAGGTCTCACTTATGGTTGATTGGGGACAAATCCGAGTCCTTTCACGTAGACGATGATTCGAGCACTGATATCTCATGCCCCCCCCATTAATACACCATGCAAGAGGTAAGGGGCTTGGGATTTGAATCCAAAATGTCACTGCATCGTCCAAGATAAGGTTGAATACACAAGTTACAATGAGAATCGACTCACTTTCCTCCTTTGAGAATTCTTCACCATCCTCATATTCTTTGCTATTGTAATAAAGACCATCCACGCCGTATGCAACAAGATTAGCCTCAATGCCTTCAAACTGGACTAATGGACAGGGGTTTTCACTTTGATGCGGCTGACACTCATCTATGGTTTCATCTTAAAATGTTAGTGTAACACTTAAATTATAAGGTACTCCCGTGGTGTATGAACCAAGATGACGGACACCGGAACGTAGTATGTGTACCAGGTTAGAGTTGGGCCATAATTTTATTCCAATTTTTCATTATCTTAGGTCTATTCCAATTTAGGGGACTAGCCAAGTGACTCCCGTAGTATTCGTACCTGAAATTATGGCCTAACCCTAACCTGGTAGACATACTACATTCTGGTGTCTGCCATCTTGGTTCACATACTATGGGAGCGCCAATTATGAAGCAATTATAGTCCCCCCCCCCACATGAAAAGGTGATGCTGAATCGAAAGTTTTCTTTTTATTATCTCCTTACATATCGTCAGCTATTAGTGCCTGCCTGAATAAAATCAATAAAAAAGATCGAAATAAATAATTGTTCTGGGCCCTGCCCGGGGCAAACCTGCTGTGCAATAAATTGGGTAAGCAACCTTGACATGGGCAAACCACGGCCCGCGGGCCAAATCCGGCACGTTTGGTAATTCAATCTGGCCCTCCACCAAATTGTAATGTTCTAGCTAAAAAATAGGTCAAGGAATTTGTTGAGATCGCGATTAAATTTAGTTTTGACACGAGGCTTGTTGTTTTTCACTTTTGATTCTGAAACACTGTAGAATGTAGATATATGTTGTTCGTAAAATGTAACTTTTTACGTCACACCTACATGGCCCATCAGTCTGGGTGGACAAAATTATTGGCCCCTTGTCCAAAAACCTTGCCCTCCCCTGGCTTAAACTTAAGTGTGCGGTCCTCCCAATAACAGCAGATATCAGTTGTTACTTGTAAATTGCCTTGTTCGGAGCGAAATGATAAATTAGATTCAGATAATTTATTTTCGTCGTGCAAGAAACATTAATGAACACAAACATAGTAGATCAAGGCAAAAGAAAAACAACAGGCACACAATGTTTCGACTGCAATTGACGAGGATCCGCGAAAGACTCTCAAGTGATCGTGTCAGCGACACCATTAAAGCTGAATGACGTCAAAAAAACGTCAAATGATCAATGTAGATTTAAAAATTTAGGAAATTAGACTGGGTCTTATTTTAATTTTCTTTCAAAAAATAACACTAGGGCTTATGGAGAATGTATTTTATTTTCGCCATTAAACTTTTCCTCTCTTACACGTCTTAGATTAATCGTTTGAATTTTAAAACGTTAAAAGATATTTCTATCGACTAGGCAGGCCCACGGCTCTTGCACTGGTTTCGTGCGGCTCTTTTCGCCCTGGTTATTCTAAGGTAAAAATAACTTACAAACTGCGATTCATGATGTTTCGATTAAACATGCTATGATGCATCTGCATTCTTCTTTTATGTCGAAAACACACCAGCGCATTCATTCACGTTACCATGCAAAGTGATTAATTATTGCTCCGCAATTAAATTTTTTGGTGTGAGGAATAGAGTGTTACTTTGATTCTGGATTTGGTCTAACAATCACAGGAAATGGTTACAAAAACCCCGTCATTTGGATCGTAAATGGCAATGTTTTGTATTTGACAATCTGTATATCTATGGTTTAAATAACACAGAAAATTGACTGTTACCAATTGTTGTCTGTCTTGTTACATGCATATCGCCTCCTGCATAAGGGTGCCATAGATCAGGGGTCCGCACATAAATAGTCGCGATCCAAACTTGGGAACAACTTACCGTGGATCGAAAGTCGGGAAACATTCATTACGTAGTTATTACTAATCGATCTTAAGATCGGTAAATATGTTGATAGGTATTTGTCTGTTTGTTTGTTTGTCTGTTAGATACACGCAATATCTCACGAAAGCGAGGTTGAATCTGCTCCAAATTTTGCATCCTATTCTCTCATACACATTTGTATCAAAATAATCGGAGATTTTTGTTATCGACCGATTTGAGATTTGTCCAGACCAAACATTGTTAATAATGTCTTTTATTGTCTCGGTCGGAGGATATCGATATTTAGGCGTAATGGCGTAATTCATCGAATTCCAATTTCATATTCTTCCAAGATCAAAGCAATAATATTATAAAAATGTAGTTAAAATATATTTTAAGCGTTGCAGGCCTGCGTAGCTCAAAACTATAATCGGCAACCATCGGGAAACAGTTAGGGGTCACGATATTTGCTTATCTAAAATTCGAACACCGTATGACGAAATGATATAAGTATACGCAAAATAATAGTAGGAAAAATTTGAATATATTCGTTTAAAAATGGGTGCTCCCGAAGTATATGCACCAAGATGGCGCACAACCTGAACATAGTATGTGTACCAGATTAGGGTCATCAGGTTGTGCGCCATCTTGTTGTACATACTTCTGGAGTGCCTAAAAATGTAGTGTTCTGTGCCGATTCCTCTCACCTGCAGATCGGTCATCAAGGTCCTTCTTAAGTCTGCGACGGGTTGCATTCCTGTCATCGCGTTCTGCCTCAGCACTATTCACATGCGGCTGACCCTCGTCTATGGTTTCATCTTAATTAAAAGGTCAATGTAACACTTATATTACAAAGTAGTTATAGTTTCGCCCATGCCCCCACCCATGTTGTATTAAGTTGGGTAGACAATGTTGAACGGGCAGAGTTCGGTCTGTTATTTATTGGCAGCTTACAAATTATAAATGGCTGCGTGTGGGTTGATTATTCAATGTATTTAAAAAAAATAATTCTGGCTGATGGTCTGGTTGGCAATGCGTTGGAGTTAACTATGACGCCATAACAGGGATTTTTTTCTGTTCTTATAGTCGCTTTTTACGTATTTTCTCATTTTATTTAAATTGCGTTAAAAGTATTACCCGATTCTGATTCGTATTTATTTTTTTGATGGGTGGCCACGTACTTGAACGTTTTTTTTTACTTCGGTTCAATAAATTGGGTAAGCAGTGCTTAACCTTGACATGGGCAAACGACGGCCCGCGGGCCAAATCCGGCTCGTTTGGTAATTCAATCTGGTCCGCCTGATTACAAACTAAAGCCAAATTTTGATATTTTACCTAAAAAATAGCTCAATGAATTTGTTGAAATTGCGATTAAATTTACTTTCGGCACGAGGCTTATTGTTTTCCACTTTTGCTTTTGTAACATTGTAAATATTGTTCATAAATGAGCTTTTTACGTCACACTTACATGGCCCGGCAGTCTAGGTGGGCAAAATGTTAATTTTACCCGGCGAAATTACTGTGTCACCATTGTGACGTAACAAGCTAAAATTATAAATTATTATGTGAAACGTCACGCTGCGGTTAACCGGTTAATTTTACCCGGTTGTAAATTGTAACCGATTTTAGATGGTTAACGGTTACGATTTATTTTAACCGTTAACTGACATCTCAGTTACAAATCATCTTCATAATGTACAGTTCTTTCAAAAATGATTACGTCTTCGCAAATTTATCTCCTGTCGCGTTTAATTCAAAAGAATATCGCTAACTGTATTGGTGAGGACTCAATAAATGTGAAAAATAATGGAAGTACGAAGATTGCTGATTATGAAAATTTGACGATAATTAATTATGAATCAGTTTTCGGTCGAAATATATTGTTCACGATTTTATCGCAAAATCATATATGGTATATTCAATGTCAACCAATAAGTGCGTAGTTGGTGCTGATTTTCTTTATATATCTCAAAGTAGAATTTGCACATCAAACACTGAAAATTTGTCACATAAACGACATTTCATAACGAAATCGGGTTTTACTAAAATACTTCCATATGTCCTACCCACGCTGCATATCTCCTGCTGCATAGTGATCAAGAAACTATCTCGATTCGTGAATAATTTTGAGCAATACCGGGATAAAGTCACGCGAAATTGCTGTGTAATCATTGTGACGTAACAAGCTAAAATTATTATGTGAAACGTCACGCTGCGGTTAACCGGTTAATTTTACCCGGTTAACGGTTCCCCGCCCTAGGTCAGATATCAGTTGTTAATTGTAAATTGTCTTGTTCGGAGCGAAATGCATAAATTAGCGCTGTTCCTCCGAAAATGAGACTAGGTCCTATTTCAATTTTCTTTCAAAAAATAACACTAGGGCTTATTTTGGAGAATGTATTTTATTTTCGTCATCAAACTTTTCCTCTCTCACACGTTTTAGATTTATCATTTAAATTTTGAAACGTTGAAAAAGATCTCTTGCTATCGACTACGCTAGGGGTGGGCAATTACTTTCCTGAGTGGGCCTGATGCGGAAAATAGACTCGGTTACTGGGCCGGACGATCAAAACTCAATATGATCAAAAACGGTTATTTGCAAATAGCTAGACACAAAGATCAATGGGCCTTAATTACAGGGGCTGGCAAATTACGGCAGCTGCGCAGGAAAATTTGATAGAAAAAGAAGCTCAACAGCTACGCTAACGTTGAAATACAGCACAATTTAACAATTGGGGTCATTATGACATAAATAGGTTATTGAAAGAGATTAAATGATGCGCATTCCTCTCGTTTACGAATGAAATTATGGTAACTTGGGATTTAGAAGGCGACTAATAATGATTGATTTAATTTTGTATTCACAATCGGAAACGGAAATTCCAATAGCAATAGTCGTCCCGATTACGCCATTCATTAAAATTGCCGACTTTTTCGCCGGTGATGATTATTCTGTTGCGCAAAATATTTAATCCATTACCAGTACGAGGATTAAAAATATCTTGCCATATTAATTTAATGTATATATAATTAATTTAATTATATAATAAGAATTGATTTGAATTTTCGCCATCTTGGTAATTTGTTTAATTTGAGCCCATTAAGATTATTTCTATGATATCATCATTTGCAAAATTCCAAGGTCGGCCATGAAATCCTACGAGTACAATTTATTACGATAAAGTAAAAGCATTAAAACTTTGAAATAAAGCGGCAATCTGGCGCCGCACGAACAAAATGTCTAAGAACCGCCGGACTACGCTCTAGTTTCAAATCGAAAATTCAGGAAGCTTAGGGATTTACCACGTTTAAAATAGAGTTTTTAATCTGTCAAGGCACACTTGAAACAAAATGTATGGTTTCTTAGTTTCTATTTAGCGTCTCGTCTCAGATAATCACATAATAAGGAGTTGTGCACAACAAACCTTTCACGACGTCCTCGTGGCACATGTCCAGTGGAATGCTTGTGAGATAGGGATAATTCACAGTAATATAGTTTACCGATGTTCACGTGCTGATATATCAGCAGCTAAAGTTTTTGAATGGCAAAAATAATTCGGATGGATGGTTTGCACATTATATTTTGCTGATATTACCGTGAGGAATTACGGTATTTACTTTAGCCGACAATCCGTTATTTCAGTGATATTTTCAACGGAAATTTACATTAGAAAAACTAGAGTCATAATTTTAGAAAGTACAAGTGGGCCAGATGAAACACTCCGGTGGGCCGTATCCAGCCCGCGGGCCGTAATTTGCCCACCCCTGAACTAGGTCCCATTTTGATGGGAAGGACTTGCATTTAGTTCAGACTAGGTCTTATTTTCGGGGCAAACACGATAAGGACGAACTCGCTACAATTTAATTCTCACCTCGATCGTTCTTCGTGTCAGAATTCGACTCGCTTGAAATCCCTCTCCACCATGTCATAATGCGCGTTAACCAATTTTCCAGAAGCTTGACGACAATTTTCGTCCAAAGTTTTTTTATCGGCGGCGTGAAAGCTGGTTTGGGTATGAAATTCAATGTTAGTAAATGAACAGTTCCAGGGCAAAAGAGCGATTGTTGAAATATTTGAATAGTTATAAAGAAAAAATTGCTTTTCAACTTGGTTTACTAATCCATATTCACCAAAGTATTCCAATAAAAAGGATACAAAACAGGAGTTTAAAAATGTAAAACATATGTTTTTCACATTTTCTCAAAACAGTTTTTTTTAGAGTTTTGCTATTTTGGGTTGAAGCCCGCAAAATACCATTATTGCTGAGTAATGAGTATAATTATTATTAGTTAGTGCCCCGTTTCCAAATTGAGGAGGAATTTCTGCCCGGTGAAAACTTCGTCATTTTACAAACTATTTAAGCTTCACAAAAGCTTCATATTTACATAATGAATATTACTTTACCTGTGGCTATTATTCCAACTATGGCAGATGCCCATAGGTGTTCCCAAACATATTGCCAACAAATTCCCAAATAATTACCCATTTTCTTCAGATATTATAACCTAAAACTTGTGGGTGGATTTGAACCCAAATGAAACGTCCCAGAGGCTCGAGTATCCTTTGTGCAATTGTCTTTTGTTGTCGAAATTATAAATATCACCAAACTTTAATAATATATCCAACGAACCAGGTATTTTATTATATTCAAACAATAAGCATCTTTAATAATATAGACTCCCGTATTTTAATAGAAACTTGCGGAAGCCCCGTTAGTTCGATATTTCAAAACTCTAGAATTCTAACTTTTTGAATTAGATATCCGAACCTCGGGTGTCGCTACTCAGCTTTGGTTCCTAGCGATCTCCCTTCCCCCAGAGTAAAACTGTATAAATTATCATTTTCTTGTAATTTGTGATATTTTTTTTACTGGGTGAAAAAATAGATGTGACTTGACTGTATCCGACTGAAACTTTAGGATGCTACTGAGCCCTGGTTGAGGATCATTAGTCCAATGTGCCGTTTCCCTGAATACTTGATTAAATACTCCACAAAGACTACGATAATATAAACGACTAGACATCTCCAACCTTTGATATTTTTCAGTTAACAATAATTCAGCTTACGTATCAGTCACCAGATACCGCTTACTTTTCAAAAGCAGAACTTTCGCGTCACAATGAACAGACAGCACACCCAGGTAACACCCCATTCTTTTGTGAAACGAAGGTCGCCATTCAGGGTATTCGCGCACACCCGTTTCTCACAAACGTTGCGACGTCGGCGAATCCGTTCATGACAAAGTTGATTGTTAACACAAGTAACGAAACTAAATTTACGTTTTACAATTGTGAAGCCTCAAAACATTGTTTAAAACATCCGAAAAAAAAAACAGAGTTTGCCGACCTTGGCACACGAAAACGAAACAGTTGGCAATGTTGACATACACGTTAGGAACCTTCCCTGATCCCTGACAATATTTGTGACGACGCAATGACGTGTTTTGGTATTTTTCCATGCCACACGGTTTACCGTTATCTTTTCTATTTATGCTCTCTTCTCTATGTTACATCTAACACGTATATTAACCAGCAAAAGCGTCCTTTATCGCAGCCAGTCTTGACTCACAAAGTGTGATTATACGTATATGGTAGCCGGTCCAATGACTAAGTTTTACGCCACTTCCGTTAGCTATAAACTAATTCCTACCGTGTTACACATAAATTTAATTCACCCATTTTAATAATGAAACTGGAGGTAATTTAAACGAGCGTAAATTTATCATTAATTTCAAACCTCGTCCGCTATTCCATCTAAAATACAGAATGATACAATTTGTAAATGCTACTTAAAAAGCAAATTAAAATTGCCTACCGCAATTTTGTAGTCTCAAACAACCTATTAAGCATTTGAAAAAAGCTCCAGCATTCGACCGAATTTGGCGCAAGACATATCATGCGACACTGATTATTAACATAAGCAACAAAACTAAAGTTGAGGCTTATTATTGTGAGGCAGCGTTGTACGATTGATATTAGCTTATTCAGTGACGTAGCCCACCTACGCTTTCTGAAATGAGGAAGTCTATTTGCGAGAATGACTAAATTTCACCACTGGCTGTAAATAGTATGCCGCAGTATTGCTAAATAAAAGCCGACCAAGGAATTACCGTTTATTTGTCCAAATTCAACTCCAAAATGAATAAAGTTGATAACAACATGGCTCAATCATAAAATTTATTATCATAGTTATAGTATTGACTGCATCTTGCTTCAAATAATTAAAATAAGTAATTAACAGCATTAATTAACACACAGTGCATAAGTATTAATGACAGCAGCATTATTACAAGATCAAGTGAGGATCTTAGATAATTTGTTGATAAAAAAACATTGCTCAGAAAAAGTGAGAATTACACCTAAAAATTGAATCTGCAATGAAAATCAGAAACGAGGAGTTTGGCATAGTTTTGTTAGTATAACTTCAATTTGGTAGTAGTCTGAGCAAGGGTGCAGCCAGGATTTTTCAGGTGGGGGGAATTCTGAAATTCCTAATTTGCCAAATTAGACCGTAATGTGGGTTATAGAGAGTCTCAAGGGTCTAAAAAGCATCCTAGGCTACAAAAGAACCCAACCCCTCTGGGTAATCCCCTGAGTGTGAGTCAAATCTCAGGTTTTCAATGGCGACATGGTTATGTATTCCGACAGAAACTCAAAAGGTATCATAATTCATAAGAACTATTGTTTCCCCATGGTCAGGTCAGGAAGTGAGGTCATATGGAGATCTCCTCTTAACACCACTACAGCATTGGGCGCTCCCGTAGTATGTGAACCAAGATGCCGGACACCGGAACGTAGTATGTGTACCAGGTTGGGGGTCTATTTTAGTTCTATTACGAGTTCGAGGACTCGCCAAGTGACTCCCGTAGTATTTTTATATGAAATTATGACCTAACCCTAACCTGACACACATACTACGTTCCGGGGTCCGCCATCTTGGTTCACATACTACGGCAGTACCCAGCATTGTTTGGCGTAATAAAATTACTTATAGCTGGAAAGGAAAAACTTAATTGAACAATTAATTAAGCATCATCACCTACTACAATAATTGAAAGTTTAGAAACAACACTATTATATACTGTGGCATAAAATGAAATTCCATTTGATCTCAAAACAACAGTATTGTTTAATGAGGTAAAAAATTTATATACAGCAATTAAAAACGTAACAATCAATTTTTTTTGAGCATCAGTAATCAGAAAAAAATTCAAAAAATTTCCAACTCAATTTAATATCGTTACTGATATAAACGGTAACAATGAAATGTAGCCACATGAAAATTTATTTCGAACAGCATTTTATTGGGGTAAAGAATTATTATTTAAGCACATTCCACTAAAACAGCGTTTCTCAAACTATTTTGCCCCAGAACACGCTTTTTAACTCGCCAAGAAATTAAAAGGTAAAATTGGTGAGTGGCAGTGTTCCCTCTAAGGCTTTCAGAGGCTGCGCACACGCAAATATTCACTGCGCACAGACGTATTTCGATGTAATGTAACAATGTGCTCGGTTGGCAGGTTGAGAAAGTTTGTTGTTGGCCCACTTATTACCCGGTTAAAACGCCAAAATTTCTTCATTGGTTTTTGCACAAATATTAGTCATTTCCAAAAAAGTGCGCACATACCAAAATTTCTGCGCACACATACTACAAAAAATTAAAGGGAACACTGGTCGGTGGTTTCAAAAAATTTAACCTACTGTAAAACTAAAAAGTTTGCTGTAAACTTTACAATTAAAAAAAATAGCCTGCTAGTTAACGATATTGAACGGTTAACGAAAATGCACATCTTCCCGGACTTCCCACATAGCAAGGTCTGTTCAACTGTTTGTCACCAGTTGGGAGAAAAATTTATCGCCGAAGTAAGGCCGAGATCGCCATGGCGACCAATTTCGTCCCTGTTCTGCAGAACAATTTCAGAAAGCATGTGGAACAGAACACAGCTTGAAAAACGCTGCACTAAAGTATTTGAAACAATTGATTGTAATATATGTCAGTGGTTCCCAAATGACTAGTTTTTCACAAGATTATTGCATTGTTCAATTTAAACTCATTTAAATAAAAAAATATTTGTTTTAAAAATGAAATAAATTAACAAAATTAACATTGAGAGGGAAGACTAAGTTAAAATTTTAGTTGCGTTATAATAATATATAATTTAATATTTAAAATACAGTCACAAAATCATAAATTGCATTGATGCAATGCGTTGGGGATTTGTAATACAGAATTATAAAAACTGTTAAAATTAACGTTGAAAGAGGGAAATACGAGTTTCAATATCGGAAAAAATACCCTGATTTAAATTAAACAGATAATCTGATGTATTACAGGAAGTAAATTAAATTTGAAAACCTGTGGACTTATTCTTTCTTTTTCAAAGAATCTTTTTTCTTTTCAGGGGATTTTTCCTCCCTGGCTTTTTTCTGAGGGGATTTTTCCTCCTCAGCTCCCCCATACGCAGAATAATCTATCACACAACTTGTGATAATCTTCTCAATTCGATGGAACGGATCAAAGTTGACGCCAAACTTGGTGGAAGCCTGAAATAACGAGAATTTGTCAAACTTCTTATATGTAGAGTTGGTCTAAACGTGTCATAGGACTTGAAATGCCTGCTATCTAACCTCTAAGTAACCTGCATGAGTTCATAGGTTCGAATCCTGCAGGGAATTCCAAGGCCAGCGCTATAAATAAGTTTGTAATTTTTTTTAATGGGAAGACTATTTAATGGGAGGGAATAAATACATAAATACATACAAATACATAGGTGCAAATTCAAGGCAAGAATTTGTTTCAGTGACATGCCCAGGTAATGTGTTACCAGATATTCGAATAGTAAGCTGCAGCTCTAATATTTTAATATCAATACGATATTCAAATATTTTGCCTGCTCTACTCAGTATTTTTGGATTTGATTCATTATGTAAATAAACTATTTTAATTCCAAGGTAAATCAAAACTTGGCTGGTATTTGAGTTTGCAACCTACAAAAAACTTTCTAATGTGAAAGTGGATCGCAACCATAAAAGACATTAGGCAGGCCTGCTGTAGAGAATAACCCTTAACCTGGTACACATTACGGGAGTATCCAATTGGCCTGGCCGTATTAGAACACAAAAAGGTAAAAACACAAAGTGTTAATCTATTTCACTCAAGTTCAGCAGGCCATATTAAATCATGGGCTAATTGCCTATAATCTATCATATCTTACCGATATCAGGAACATCACTGTTAGTTGTAGAAGAACAACAGTGTTGAATGAGATCGGCAGGATTCCTAGAAGTTGTAGATTGTAAAGTAGAGAGAACAGAAGGCTGAGCTTTGTTACTCTGAAAAAAATAGGATATTATGGTAAATTGCCAGTAACTAAATTCAAAATTGTAAGAACGGGTTCTCTTTTGTGTCAAACTGGTTCCCTCATCTTAGAAAACCATTTC